AAGTCAATAGATAAATTTGGATATTGAGTCTAATAATATATTATATTTATGTTTCTATTAATGGTTTGATAACTGGATAATTAAATGTTATAATTTGAATTGGTTAAGATATTGAGTTATAAATTGTTTATGTATGTTCATATTATCATTAACTTATCTTTTTTGTTTGCAATTGTGTGTTTTTCTCTTCCTTTGCAATGTTTATTATTTTGGCGTTAGTAGAAAAGGTTTTAGAAACTAGTTAGAATGAATGGATGCGTTTCAGATAGTATTTTTTTCTTGGTTTAATGGATGTATCTAATATAAAAAATGTAGTATAGCTCATAGTCTCCCGATGATCTTTTATGTAAAAATGGAGATGTTTATAGAGGATTTTAAATAAACTTAATTGTAAAATATTGTGACTATTACTATTATTTTATATATGTTTTATATTTAATCATGTAATGACATGAAATAGTAGAGGTATTTATTTTCCCGCGATATTACATAATCAAAATTTAATATTTATTTATTTAATAATATATTTTTTTGTGTGCTTCTATATCTTGTGTAATTTTTAAACATTAATCATATCACGTAAAAAAAAATCAATTTTAAAGTATTCTATTTTAGTTTCCTCAAATTAAATTTAACATTATAAGACTGTAGTGTTTTTTTAAAATAAATTTTTCATATTTTATCAAATATACTCTAATTTAATACTTTTTATTGTTAATAATGTAAATGGTGAATAATATAAAGTCAATAATTTGTGTTATTTTTTAAAATAAATATGTCATCTTCTCTCTCCAAACTCTGACCCCTAAATGTACTCCATCCTTGATAAAAAGACTTACCCGATATGGTGTGGTTGGAGACTGAACATGTCTCATAATAGATTAAGAAAGACTTCAACAGAATATACCAAGAAATATAAAAGGAAAAAATCTAAAATAAAAAATATATAGTTTATGGTATTATATATTTAATATTTAATTTTAATTTTTGATAAGATAAAGTTGTTGTTGGATATGAAAACCTTTGAAAGAAATCATGAAAGACAGTTGAAAGTATCCTTCATAAAAAGCTTTTCAAGTTTATTGATTAATGCGAGTGACGAGTAATTCGGTTCAAGTTTCAGATCACTAGCTGTGGTTATCAAATTATATCAAATGTGTAATCGTGATAGCGAGACTTCAAGGTACCGATTAGTGAAAAGAAAACAAAAATAAATTTAATATTATTCTTCTTGTTTTAAATTATCGTGAATTTTGTTAATTGCATAGCTATTTATCTTCTATTTTTCTGTCTTTTTGTATCCTATAAAATATTGAATAAAAAATCATTACCGAACTGTAGTTGCGTTACAGTAATTCTAGGGATTGTTTTCCCCGACAAGTTGACTTCGTTAATTAATTAATAAAATATTAAATTGAAAAAATATAACAAAGATAATAATAGCATCCCCGACTTTTCATTTTCTAATATGAAAAGACCAACCAACAAGAAGAAGTGGGTAGATTTGTTCTATAATATAAAAAGTTACTTCTAAATGGTCCATAGTGCAATTAGGATGTTTGAAGTATGAGGATAAAAAAAAAATTGTATGAGAGCATTATAGATATAAAATTTAACCAAGTGGTTAGTATTTAAAAAAAAAAACCTCATAAAACCTTTTTCTATTATTTGATAAATTTTAAGTGGGTAAGGAAATCACGTACTTCCTTCCATCTTCCTCCACATCATCACACTGTGTACATAATAAGTTGTCATAGCTGGCGCTATTCTCTTAGATTGGATTATTACATGTGTTTATTTTTTTCAGTTTATTACAAGTGAATTATAATATTTTTACAATTCTTTTAAAATTAATTTTCTGAAATAGTATAGTTTTAGCCTTTATATGGTTATTTTAATATTTTAAAAATTGAATTTTTTGTTAGGTATTTAATTTAATCTTCTTTTTATTAAGAACTTTAAATAATTGTTTTTTTTATGTATTTGAACCTAAAACTTTTATGTATTCACATTTTAAGTTAATAAATATTGCTTAAACTTTTGGTGTAAAAAACAAGTTGTAAATCAAAAGAATTATTCTTTTGCTATTAAATGGTTGACTGAATTAAATATGGAAATCAATGAAAATTGATTGTTTGAAATGATTGTTATGTTGGTTATAGCTAGGGAAAAATATTTTCCAGCCACGTACCCACACGACAATTTTTATTTCGCACATGATAAGTAGTTATTTCCTAAATAAATAATTTACTAAAATTTATATTATAAAAGATATATTTGCTATATTGAAATATACGGTATATTAATTTAAATAATTTAAAATGTGATAATATATTTTTAACTGTTTTTAAAATATTCTTAAAAATCAATTAAATGTATAGGTAAAACAGAAGAAATTAGATTTTTTTTCATTGAAAAAAAAAACTAACCTTTCTACTTTTTTTTCATCATTTTCATTCTTTTCGATTAAAAAGATGAAGTACACGCATAAACTATAACACATACATCATTTTGTTTGTGTAAACAATTTGGAGCGAAAAATTGTTTTCCATTGATTAGAGGGGTTTTGATATATAAGTCTAAGTAAAATTCATAGAAATTTTTTTTATAAATAAGGTGAGGTACCCTAATATCGCTTATATATATATATATATATATAATAATCTATATATATATATATATATATGAGATTTGCTAACATATGTAATTTTTTGTTCAGTTGACATATTTTAGCAAATTGTACCGGATTTTAGTAGACAAAAATATCCTCATATTATGAATTATAAGTTTTAAGATCAAGTATTTAATAATTTTCATTCTCACAACTAAAAAAAAAACAAGAAAACCCTTACTCACTCCTCTCTCATCCCTCATCATCTCAACCATTTCTCTTTCATCTCTCTCACCCTAACCTTCTCTTTGTCATCCTTATAGTAGTCTCAATTGAAAAAATTCGAAACACTCACTTAACCTTAATTCACATTTCTCACTTATCCAATTTGTTTCTCTTTCATTTTCATCCTCTCTCACCCACATACAATAACCCGGGACACCGTAATTTGTTGCTCATGCTCTATTCGTTCATTTGTTTTCCACTTTAATAACAAAATAATTGATGATGTTGATATTGATTTTTGATTAAAAGGTTGTGTTATATTTTTTTCCCTTCGGATTGTTATTAAATTTTGTTTTTATATTTTAGAATTAGTAGTTTATCTTTAGGGAGATTTGATATTTTGACTATTAAGTTGATATTTTGACTATTAAGTTGTCCGAAAATATTTTTCAGAAGAGAAAAATTGTTATGTGGAAAGAGGATTCCGGAAGAGGTAAGTCATTGTCTAGAAAATGAATTTTTGAAGTCAGTTCTTAAAAATAATTCTAAAAAACCATATTTTCGCTGAAAATAATATTTTGAAATATACTTTTTACCTTCTTGCATATAATCAACAAGAACAAGTTATTAAAAAAAGGTTATGAACAAAGAAAATTGTTGTTGTTGACTTTGTTTCCTTATTCAGAGTAGAGACCACTGCTCTTTCCCTTTTGAATGTTTCAGATAAGCATATTTTCATTTCATTTTTGTAAAAAGAATAAAAATATTCTAACAAATTGCACATCTTCTAGATTTGAGCAGATTACAGTATATTAAGTAGTTTCCAAGAAGAACTGCATTGATATACCAACTAATTAAAAATCAATCAAAAATTAGTAAACTAGTCATAATGAACCTGTTAGCTCTCAGTTAAACCTAAAAATTACTTTCCAAAGCAAATCACATCATGTAAGTTTATTTTAAACAATTCACATCTCCAAATTGTTTGGTCAATATAAACATGATGTCGTCATTCTAATTTATATTTATCGTAGAAGTAAAATTAAGAAAAACAAAACGCACTGAATTTTAAATTGGAATTTAAACTTAACAAATTTGTTACCATTACGCTCATAGTTTAACTTATACTCCTTTCATTTCTATGATTTTATCAAAATTAATATTAAGAAACTAAATGTTTTGCAACTATTATGGATATATGCTAACATCTTTTCGTGGGAGTTTCTTGTTTCTTCTTTTAGTTTTGAAATTATTGAAATTATTATAGATTTTAATTTTTTACAAATTCAATAACAATCAGAAGGAACAAGATATAACACAATTCTTCAATCAAAAATCAACATCATCAATTATTTTGTTATTAAGGTGAAAAACAAATGAACGAACATATAAAGAGCAACAAACTGCAGTGTCGTAGGTTGCTGTGGGTGAGAGAGAGGATGGAGATAAGAGAGAAACAAATTAGATAAGTGATGAATGTGGATTAGGATTAGGTGAGTGTTTCTGATTTTTTCAATTGGAAAAAAAGAAAAGGTTTGAGTGAGAGAGATGAAAGAGAAAATGTTGAAAGGAATGAGGGATGAAAGAGATGAGTAAGGATTTGGGGGTTTCTTAGTTTTTTTTTTTAATTTTGAGAATGAAAATTAATAATATTTTTATTCACTGAAACTTGATACACTCTACTTTTGATACACTCTGCTAAAACAAAACGTACCTAACTAAAACAAAAAGTCTTACTTATCTTAGCAAACCCCTGTATGTGAAATGTATATTGTAAAAAATAATCATATATAATTGAGAGAATCTTACTCATTAAATTGTATATTCTGATTTGTAATACAAGAATAAATCGATAGGCAAATGATTGGTGCTTGGACCTCGAATTACAGGAGCCTTAAATATGTCCATTATTATTTTAAAAAATATTTGTGGTTGACTTGAGTTATCTATATTATATTTTATTTTTACTGCTTTAATTTTAACAGCGTATAAGTATTATCGTATAATGTTATCTTATTACCTTTTTTAAAATAAAAAAATATTTAAACACAGTCTTATATATTTATGCATATACATGCGCCGCGTATGAAAAGGAGAAGAAAACGGAATCAGAACTTGTTTTCCATAAATACGAATATATTTTCTTCCAAAATAAAACCTCAAGTTGATTTGTCAATTTACCTTTCATTACTTGAATTATGTTGAAAATTGGAACGAAGGATCTATAATTTTGTTTTTCATTTTGAGGGAAAATATATACATACATTATTACGTAATTGAATTATAAGCTGAGACATACGTAATTGTAGGATTTTATTAGGAGAATAAATCAATGATGAATATTCAATTATTGTAATTAGAAATATTTGCAAATAGATAATCTAAGAGAAGGCGTAAAAGTAGGATTTGTGGGCAATAAGGAATGATGAATATAAATATACATAAGCATAAATGATTTGATGAGAGGTAAATGGAAAAACATATTGTTCCTGTAACCATGGATAACCCTGATTTTGCCGTAGCCATGGATAGGTTAAAGCAGCCACAGAAGAAGAAAAACACAGGGAGGAAGAAGATTGTGATAAAGAAGATTGAGAAATGTAGCAACAAGCAAGTGACATTCTCGAAAAGAAGAGCAGGGTTGTTCAAAAAAGCGAGTGAACTGTGCATTCTGTGCAATGTTAACATAGCCATAATAGTGTTTTCTCCTGCTGAAAAGTTGTTCTGCTTTGGGCATCCAGACGTGGAAGGCATTGTTGGAAGGTACCTGAAGGGAGAGAAAGTGTTGGTAGCATCAGAGAGAAGAGGGTCATATGAAGAAAGCAACATGCAATACGAGGAGGCAGTGAAGAATTTGGCGTTGGAAAAGAAGAATCTGATAGAAACTGAAAAAATGGTTAAGGGTTTGAGCAGAAGGTGGTGGGAGGATCCCATTGATGAGATGAGTGAACGTGAGTTGGAACAGTTTATGGTGTCGCTTTATGAGTTGAGGAAGAAATTAACAGAAAGGGCTGCTCAATTGTTCATGCTTTCAATTCAATGATGTACAATCTTTTGTTTTTCATTTTCACCATCAACTCAATTTTCTTTTTTACTTTTAATCTGTTGTTGTTGTTTATGTTTAAGTTTAAGAATTAAAAAAACATATTAAATTTTATTATTATTTAATATTTTTCTTTTTCCTGCTTTTTTAAGTTAAGAGTCATGGATACTCGATTAATCTTCAATTCTAATATTAAAAGAAAAACAAAAACAAAATAAGTATGCAACTTATAAAAACTTATATTTGTACACTTTACACATGAGACAAACTTTTTTTATGATGAAAATTGCTTAATTGTTAAGAGTTATTTATGAATAAAATGTTACTTTTTATTCAACATAGATTTTGTGGTATTTAAAATTGTAGGAAACTGTTTATATAAATGATTGTTTTTTATGAATTGCTTATCTTCTTTATTGAATATAGAAAAGATAATGTAAAATGTTTAAAAATATATTTTTGACTTAAATAATTTATTAACAATGATTTTTCAATTGAAATAAAATTATTGAATCACTTAAATAAGTGGACCGAGAACTACAAATATTGTAAATTTATGAATTTTAGGTTAAGCTCATTACATACATCGATACATACACACTGTCGTGTTTTTTCTGCACATGGACATATTTTGTCACCAGCAGGAGGCCTCAGTCGATAAGAATGGCCACAAAATCGTTCCATCTAAGGATTCAATTTGAATCAATGAATGCATTACTCACAAGAAAGCCATCATTTTGTCTTAGGAATCAAAATTTTAGGCCTTTCTCTTCCCATAAATTGTTATCAAAGAAAGGTTTAGCCAATGCACTAAGAGTCCTGAACCTTGTATCCCCCCAAAAACGTGGTGCTGATGTTAAGAGTCGTCAAAGCCATCTGAGGCTCATTGAGAACATGTTGGAAAACAATGCAACCGTAACCATTCCTCTTGGTCACAATTCACCTACTCTTAGGACTACAACTGAAATGGATATTCACTCCTCTGTTCTACAGATGGAAGTTTATGTGCACTCCTTGTCACAAGCTGTGAGCTCATGTGGGTCCAAGCGTGACCTTTGGGGAGGAATTCAGTATCACTGCTTAGCAATAACAACTGGGTTCATTGCCAATGTTTATGTTGGAAGTTCTTTGATAAGTTTGTACAGCAGATGTGCCTTATTGGACGATGCATGCCTTGTGTTTGAAGAAATGCCTGTTAGGAATGTAGTTTCATGGACGGCAATTATTTCTGGGTTTGCACAAGCATGGCGTGTTGACATGTGTTTGGAGCTCTTGCATCAAATGAGGGGATCAGATTTGAGACCAAATTATTTTACGTACACTAGTCTTCTAAGTGCTTGTATGGGCAGTGGAGCACTGGAACATGGGAGATGTGCTCATTGTCAAATAATTCACCTGGGTTTTCACTCTTACCTCCACATTGATAATGCTCTAGTTGCTATGTATTCCAAATGCGGGGCAATTGACGAGGCCTTGTACATATTTGAAAATATGGAGGGTAGGGATGTTGTCACATGGAATACCATGATTAGCGGGTATGCGCAGCATGGGCTTGCCCAAGAGGCAATTAGTCTCTTCGAAGAGATGATAAAGCAAGGTATTCATCCTGATGCTGTTACTTACCTTGGTGTCTTATCCTCATGCAGACATGGCGGGCTTGTCAAAGAAGGCCAAGTTTACTTTAATTCCATGATTGAGCATGGTGTGCAGCCAGAACTAGATCATTATTCTTGTATTGTAGATCTTCTTGGTCGAGCTGGTTTACTTCTGGAGGCTCGTGATTTCGTTCAAAATATGCCTGTTTTTCCCAATGCTGTAATATGGGGTTCACTGTTGTCTTCCTCTAGGCTTCATGGAAGTGTTCAGATTGGCATCCATGCAGCAGAGAATAGGCTGTTGTTGGAACCAGGGTGTTCAGCTACACTTCAGCAGCTGGCGAATCTCTATGGAAGAGTTGGTTGGTGGAATGAGGCTGCACGAGTGCGAAAATTAATGAAAGACAAAGGTCTTAAACCAAATCCTGGTTGTAGTTGGGTTGAAGTGAAAAGCAAAATCCATATATTTGAAGCACAAAATAAGTCAAACAGTAGAAGGACAGAGATTATTTTAACATTGAATAGTTTGATAGACCACATTAGTAGTTTAAACTTTCAGTTTCAGATGTGTGATGAGGAAAATATTTGGCTTTCAGTTTCACAATGCTAACTCAATTGTGGGGCTTTTAACATTTCCAGCACTCACGTTTGAAATGGGTGGGAACAATAGGACTGTCATTTTCTGGTCAGTGAAATGTTTATCGATGATCGGAAATTCAAAAAAACAATTCTGAGCAAAGATCACGCATATTTTATGTATACCTAGTTTTATGGTATATTGGAAATAATTTTAATAAGATTTATTTTAATTTTTTTATTCATAATAAATTAGACTTAATATACAAATTATTTTAACTTTGTATTTTTATCTAATATGATATTTACTTGCTTTTTTGATGACTTTTTCAGTAAATGTATTTTTTTTTATTCCGTATTGGATTCTACATGAACTTTAAAATAAATTTATAGAATTTTGGATTTGGAGTCTTTTATTATTTTTTATATTTTTTAATTTAAAACAGATTTGTTGTATTTTTATATTAAAACCTATTTAAAATTAATTTTTATTATTTTAGTTTATATTCTGTAATTGAGTTAATGGATTTAATTAGAACTAAAATTAGATCCAGGCATACACATTATTAGATAACTTATATATAAATAAAGGGGAGAACTCGTGATTATAATTGGTTGGAAATGTTTTCGCGCTGGAGGGGGAGTGTATGTATGTGGAAGGGACTCACCTTTGAGGAGGAGATTGTTGGGAATCCAAGTGTGAGTCAACATCCCACATTGGATAAAAACGATAAAGTAAAACACAAAATCCATTGTCTTAAAGTTTTAGATAAATAATAATGTTTGTGTCTCTCCATTAAACCTTTTCCTCATTAGACCTAACACATAAACCGAATAAAAATTGCAAAGAAATTATGTGTTTAATTATTTTATTAATTTTTAAGTCTTATTTTTATTATTATTATTATTATTATATATATATATATATATATATATATATATAAACGAATTGTACTAGAAAAAGAAAAAATTAATAAATAACTGACATTTAATATAGAATTTAATTTGAACAGAAAATATTTATGAAAATTAATAAATTTTAATATTATTTAGTATAAATTTAAAATTTTCGGTGTTCCTTTAAAAATTAGAAAAATATAAGAATTAAAGTTCCATGAACTTATTTGTAAAAAGAAAAGTTAAATTTTGAATATAAATTAAGAAAAAATTATTGATTTTATTAAAGAATATGGAGGAATTACTTATTTCATTTTATTATATATATGCCCATTAAAAAAATATTTTGATTTAAATTATTTATTTATTAATTTAATGGACCTTTTATTTGTCGTGATTGGTGGAAGCGTGAGCAGTGCATAAACAAAGGAAAACCATTGAACTGTAAGGAAGATGAAAATGGCAATGATCATGCAGCTGATACCCTTTATCTCTACTCCTCGACAAGGACAACTCATGAACCTTAATTTTTCAAACAGAAGTTCAATACTCTCTCGTTGCCTTATTCACAATTCAGACGTCCAAACATCTCAGACTCAAAGACTAGTCCACCACTTCAATCCGAAGACTCCCATAGAGGAAGCCATTACCCCCCCAACATCATGGTACACTGACCCCTCTTTCTTCCACCTTGAGCTCGATCGCGTCTTCTACAGAGGCTGGCAAGTAGTGGGTCAGTTTTATTCTGCCCAAAGATTCAACCTTTTCCCCCTTCTTTTATTGGGTATTTTCGTTTTGCTTTCTTGACCCTGCAGGGGAATACAGAGGAAAACAAATTGTAGATGTAGAATTTCAATCCGATAAATAGTTTCGATGATTGAAAAGAAGAAAATTATTTTAATTTTTATGCAAACCATTTATCTCTGTTTGCACTAATATGAAATATGATCCTCGAAGTAAAAGAGAAATAAGTTAAAAGTAATTTATACCTAAATCAAAAGTAAAAATTTAAAGAAATTTACATATTAGTTTACGCATAAACTTTTTTTTTTCTCTTTTACAAGTCTTTACAAAAGAGTTTGCCTAAAGAAGCCATTTCAAGTTTCATTTTTGTCTTTTATTTTTTACCTGCGACATCTGTTGTCCGCCAAAAGTTCTCTAGCTTCACTGAATTTTTATTACAGGATCCACGGAGCAGATAAAGGATCCTCGTGACTATTTCACTGGAAGGTTTTCTTTTCTAATCCATGTATTTTGTCTTCAATAGAAATTCGTTGACTTGAGATCATTTCATAATCTGTGGTATTTGCATATGTTAATGGCAGTTTTCCAATTGTAGCTCCATTTGGTTCTTAGAAGAGGAAAAGAATATTTAGGAGTGAGTTAATGAGTATTGCACTCTATTCATTTTCTTTTCTTCCAAATTTCTGAGAATCAGGTGGTGACTAAATATTGCAGACTAGGAGATGTTGAATATTTGGTCTGTCGTGATGACAGTGGCATGGTCCGTGCCTTTCACAATGTCTGTCGTCATCATGCTTCTCTTCTTGCTTATGGAAGTGGAAAGAAATCCTGCTTTGTCTGTCCTTATCATGTGAGTTTACCAACAGTGATAAATATGCATATTAGCATACTTATTTTGATTCTCTTCTCTATAGACCTCCTTCCTTTTTATATTCTGATCTTTGTGAAATTGAAAACATAATTGTCAAGCTTTCCTTCATAGATAATGGCTGTTACTCAGTTATCATGATCTGATACTTTCTCATTGTAGGTTTCTATTTTTACTTCCTTTCTTTTCTTTGTTTTTGAAACTGAGATATGAAAATACTATGATTTCTGCAGGGGTGGACTTATGGTTTCAATGGAACACTTCTAAAGGCCACTAGAATATCAGGAATGCGAAATTTCAATGTAAATGTATGCAGATATGTTCTTTAATAAGTTACTTGTATTATATATCTTTCGGAGGGAAAGGTCAACTGATTTCTCTGTCACCATGAATGGTAGGATTTTGGCCTTTTACCAATCAAAGTAGCTACATGGGGACCTTTTATTCTTCTCAATTTGGAAAAAGAGAATCTTTCTCAGAAGGAAGTTGATAGTCATAATGTGTCAAAGGAATGGCTGGGTAGCTGTTCAGAAGTACTGAGTTCCAGTGGAATTGATTCTTCACTAAGTTATGTATGCAGACGTGAATACACAATTGAATGCAATTGGAAGGTGTGAATTGACTATTTGATTCAATTGATTCTTTTTACTGGAAATTACGTTTATTACTTGAGGTACAGTTTCATTTTCTTTATAGTTATGTGATAAGATATTTTACCTGGTTTATGAAACTTCACTCTTACGTATAATAGGTAAATTTGTTTGCTTTATCTCTCCAGCGAACGTTCTCTACAAGAAATTTTAAGCATCAGCTTTTATTATATCAACAATTTTGTTTGTATGATTCAAGGAATTGCTAGGACTTTAGCAATTTCAGTGTCTTTTTATGCAGGTATTCTGTGACAACTACTTAGATGGTGGCTATCATGTGCCGTATGCACATAAAGGCCTTGCTTCTGGTCTTAAGATGGATTCCTATTCTATCACTGTAAGATTCTTTGATGTCTACAAAAAAGTCTTCTCATTTTACATGCTATTGTACTGTAGCATGATATTGAGTCATGTAGATGGTTTTTTGGAACCCTTGCTACATGACTTTTCATCCTTTTCTGCAACCAGAATAAATAATTATATTTATCAGTCACTATCTAAAATAATCTGCTAAAGTGAGCTAAAATATGATACTTTTGGCACTGGATTTTCATTTTTTTTTGTTACACATCTGATTGCTTATGACTAAAAGGATGGTTTATGAACGAGACAACAGATGTTTGAAAAGGTTAGCATCCAAAGTTGTGAAGGCAGCTCAGAGAAAAGTGAAGAGAATTATGATCGACTTGGAAGAAAAGCTATATATGCTTTTATTTATCCAAACTTCATGATTAATAGGTGCTTGCTTTGTTGTTGTTTAGGCATGGTAGATAATTTTTAGTCATCGTATTCATTTAAACAAGAAATTTTGATACATTCAATGTATTTGTTTTTCAAATTAGCATGTTTTATAACTTGGGGTGCTTGTTGGCATTCATAGGTACGGACCTTGGATGGACACCAATCTTGTGGTTCCACTAGGACCCAACAAATGTCAAGTAATATTTGACTACTATCTTGAACGCTCTCTGAAGGTAACTTCTAGTTATGTAGGCAATAATCAGATCCTACTCAAATTGGCATAAAAAAAATACTCTTCCAATGTATTACGATGAACCTTGTGCTGATAGTTTTGTAACTACAGTTCATGGAAATAGATTTTAAGAAACTTAGCCACCGTTAGGGACTCTAGGCAGAGAAAGAGGTTTTGATTAATGACCAGGGTATGAAATGTTAGGAAATGAGAAGTTCAGATCTTTGCCCTCATACTTTAAATTATTTTTATTATGATAGTAATATTATACTAAAACCACACCATGATATACGTTTGGTGGTTTTTGTGTAAAAATATAGTGAAGTCTCGAGACGTTCTTTTACACTTTAGAAATCAATTCAGAAATCTTCATATTAAAGGATGGATGGAGTGTGTTAGTTTGTGGGTCTTCTCACCACAAATCACCGGGGTTATAAAATAAATAAATAAATACTTGTTAAAACAATTGCAGTCAATTTAAAACACTGACATGCTTTCTCTTTGACTGAGCAGAATGACACAGATTTCGTAGAAAAAAGTTTGCGAGATAGTGAGAAAGTGCAGGTAAAAAAGCATTGGTTTTCCAGGCTTGATTAGATATTTTCCTTTGCTGGAATATATATACCCATATTTGGTGGTTCATGCCCAGCTAGAAGATGTGGTGTTGTGTGAAGGTGTCCAGAAAGGTCTCCAGTCCCCAGCATATTCGGTCGGCAGATATGCTCCAACGGTTGAGCTGGCCATGCACCATTTTCATTGTCTGCTCTATGAAAACCTTACAAAGTAAACTCCTCTCTGCTACGCAAAATTATTACATGGTTGGGACTGTATGCACTGTAGTCTTGATCTATACTTACGCGATATGTAATTATATATATACATTTTTTTCATTTAAGAAACCTAAGATATACACGTAAAATACAAATAAGAAAGAAATTGTATTTAAACAATGAATCGGAACTATGATATAAATCTCTATAACTTTTCAAACATGAAATTATAAATCAGCCTCTCAAACAGAAAATACACTGGTGGCAAAAAAAATGAAGACTAGCTAAATTTCCGTATATAACAAACCTAACCTGGTTATAATCTACGTATAAAACAAATCCACTTTTTTAGATCTGTAGAATCTCTGTACAAATATTATATAACTTATCATCGTCGGAAGAATGTAGGTAAACCCATCAATAAACGAGACGGAGCGAAGGCAAGCTGGATTTGACTCTGTTGAGAAGCCTATTTTTATCTCCGATGAGAGGCCTCAGATTCCGTCGTCTTAAATTTTTCAAAGAATGTTCGAACACCGTTACTGAGTTGAGCTTTCGGTACTGGTATCAGCTTCCCAACCACAGCAAGGGGCCAGCTGAGAGAATGGGAAAAGGGAAAAGGGAAGAGGAAGCAGAGGAATAATTACAGTTAGCATTCGCGCATGGAACATGGATTAGCATAAATGCATAATTGTCTTTCGAGTAGTACATATGGGCACAGTATTAAAAACAATCAAGGCTTGCTCCCAAGCATTCATCAAAGTCAATCTCCCAACAGCAACTCATAGGAGAAGAAAACAGCATATTCAAAGAGCAAGATACATTATGAATTCTAGTACGTGTTATCACCAACTGACCTGATAAATGCTATAATAACAGAAATGAGCCACAGCTTCCAATTAAGCTTGACTGTTTTAGTGAACTTTCCAAGAAATTCAATGATGACAATCTGCAAAACAGTAACCAAGTTATGATAGCCCTACCAATATGTCATAAATAAAAGCAAACAACTGAAGACTTTAACACGACTAACTGATGTGCCTGAAACACCATGCCCTCCCAATTAAAGTATACCCTCGAAGGGAGAGGAGTAGGGCTAGTTTGGGAAACGGGGTAGAGGACAATGTAATGCATGTCTCAAACAGAAAGGACACTGGGCAGCAGGCATTCGGTGAGAATAATGCAGCAATATCGGGGCCGGGGAATACGAAGGGAATGGAGGGTGGTGGAGGGGGTGTACCATCATTTAGGTATTGTTTGGGGTTAATAATTCCACGGGGAGTTTTTCTTTTACCTTTCTACATCTAAATTTTCTACTATTACTTTGTTCTCTGCAATTTTCCTACTATCTGTGTGGTAACATCAGTAGTATCTATTGCTAACCTGGAGCACAACAGTTATTAACACTATCCCCATAAAGAGGTAGTTTCTCGTGACTCCCTTGAAAATGTTGAAGCTATATGGCTTTCGGGCATTAAATTCATTAAAGACCTGCAGATTCGGAAGGACATTTTCTTTGTCATCATTTGAATAAAAAATCAAAAGAATGTAGTGCAAATATAAGGTGAGAATAAATTGGGTATGAATAACCTTCTTCTGCATCAAAAGCGTATAGCGGAAAATAAAAACAAAGGAATCCAACATTGAAGAGAGTAACATGAAAATGTAAAACAAAATGTGGTAGACTTTATTTCTGTCAATGAACGCTTCCAGTCATTCATGAAGGTCCCGAAGGCCAAGAATCTCCCTCAACAGCTCCTCAACTAACTCCCTATCCTATTCACTCTTTATTTATATTACTCTGTCTACAGAATTCTCTGCATCACCCTTTATCTTTCCTCATTTACTTCCTAATGAGTAGGTTCTTAGAGCTTCACTCATCAAGCATAGAAAAGTATAGAAAGCAGCATGAGTCCAAATGGCATACAAGGAACTCGTTCAGTCCCTCGTTAATCAAGGAAGTTGTTATTGGAAATCCTCATCCTTCACTTTTTGAGATCCAACTTTCAAATCCAATTTCGAAAACATTGCAGCCTCAGCCAATTCATCCAGCATTACTTCAATCATAGAGATAGGGAATTTATATGGAACTTTAATCTTATATAGTTCCATATAATCTACACAAAATGATATGATAGGGCTGGAACAAGGGACTCAATTTAGCAATGTAGGTTCCTTGAAGCTTATAGCACGATCTTGCTTCCTATGATGTGCGTGAAACTAACATTTTAGGTAAAATTTCATTGGATTAGGAGTTTGTATTTTCATTTAGATTTCTAGGAATTTAATCACTGTTTTTGTTCAATTAACTATTTTTGTTATTTAGGATAGGCAAATTAAATCCATTGGGCTTAAGCACGAATCACTATGTTCTCAACCATTAGGCCCAGAAACAATCAAGTTTAGAGTGGGATCCTTATCTTTTTCAGAAGTCTTGTGCTTAACCATCTTGCATTTGGAGATCAAGAACTAAAGTTGGAAATATTTGAGTGCAAGGTGAATGATGATCCAACAAAAAATGTAAATATTTAGAGATTAGAAAATAAAGTTGTTCCTATTTTTTTTTAGAGTAAGGGTAGTATGACACACATTGATATTCATATGACACACATTGACATTCATTTGACAAAGATAAAAAAAAATTATGTGTTAAAGTATCATTTTTCTTTTTTTATGCTTTTCTTGTACTTTTTGACGAGTTATTTCCTGATAAACACTATAGGTAAGTAGTTCTTTGTTTCTAGGGATTAGAGTAGTCGAATAAGGGATTGACAATTTCTTTTGTATTTCCCTCATTTGTTTACGCTAAATATATTTCAATTCCAATTTAGATATTCTTCATGCTTATGAGTTTGATTGGTTCTTATTTAAATGGTCCTATATGTCAAGGAAGAACTAGAAGTTGAACATTAACATTAAAAATTCTAAATTTGAACAAAAGAAATTCAAATCACAAAATCAGACATAGCCTTTTAGGGTTTTTCCTTGGAATGATCAAATAACGTGATCAGTTTAATTAGATTTAAGTCCCGCTAAAGTAGGGATTGATCTAATAAAATAAATTATTGTTAGTTCCTTGTGGGGTTCTTTGAAATTGGACTTTAGTTTTCTCATAGCCAATACTACATCCACCCCATCTATCTAGAATAAATACAGATTTTGTGAATGGGTAGCCCTCGCAATGGCACCTCACACCGTGCAAAGTCCTAGTTTTTTGCCCCATGTTCATCTCCTACTTCGACCCAATATTGTGCTGTGTCTAGCATGGGGAAAACCCGAAGCTGTCACTGTTTCTTAAGCAATGAGATTACAAGATGATCAACAGTCAACTAGAACCATGACCTCGTGACGTTGAATCGCACCCAACAGTTACCGGAGTTCTTTGAGGTGACTCCAACAGCACCTTTTAGGTCCAATTGAACTAGTTTGCCTTCCCATTCAATGACTTTGTTCTTCTCTCCATGCCACTTAAATGTAATCTAATTTAATGCACTGTAAGTCTATCATCCATTCAATCTTCACGTGCCATATTTTTTCATCACTAATAAGGCCATTCACGGAAGTCACGAGGTTCTACCTTCAACAACTCCTCAAGTAACTACATCCCTTATTCGCCTCTTCATCTATAACACTGTGTTTACAATTTCTCCCTCCATGCCTCTCTATCTTTCCTCACGTACACCTTAATGAGTGCTCTACTATCAAAAGTCATTAGGGCAAGAATATGTCCAGCAACAATCAAGCATCACTGGAGTTACTCTATGGCAGAGGGAAGCCATGTAAAATTGCCTTGGACCCCCGTTCATTGGCATAAACTACGTGGATTAATGTGTTTCTCCCAAAACATAAAAGTTACAGTGAACACATCACTAAAAACTATTGAAAATTAAGCAATTCCTTATCTATTATGAACTCTACACTCTTTCAAGACGTATTGAGTGCTATACACCATAAACACACCGAAAGCCATTTGAGAATAATAAAGATTGTAAAAGGAAGAGCTTAATCACATCTATGATAGAAAATGATGACGATAATTGTCATCTTTTATAATTAGGTTTGTATGGAAAATATTATTTTTAAAATTTTCTATATATCTATAATTATTTTTTACAATTAAGTTATAAGCATTTCTGCAGATTTCAATCTAATGAGGCGTTTCAACAATATTATCAACCCAGCACTTTAAAAAAAAAACTTAAATATATTAAACGTAGCTACCAGCCACTGAAGCTTAGAACTTTGTAAATTCCTATTAATTGGTGATGATAAGGACTTACTTGACAAAAAACAAAAGCATTGAATATCAGAGAGTTCTTCACTTTGATTGCAGGGCGGTTGGGTTCATTCCTCAAACCCAGTAATTTCACACCTTGGAAATTAAGTATAAGCAACACAGAAACTTGATAAATTGCCTGAAAGTTTCCAAACATTACCGACTATTCAGAGACAGCAGAAATAATATGGCATAAGTAATGCATTATATTTTTAGCATTCATCAGTTAGTTGTTTGCGGCTTGGTCCACATAAATTTAAAATCCCTGCCAGCTTTCAATACAACAGGAGTGCCACTACATGAGAAACAGAATTCACCTGTATCAACAGATTCCTCCACATAAAATTTGATACAAGCGGTTCACTGTGCAAAAAACAGATACTGTCAATTTTATAACACAAACCATAAAAAAAAATACACTACATCTGCTCTTCCCATAATGGAGTTTAACAGTAGGTCCATTCATTGTACATAAGTGCATTTATTTGAAATCCATGCAAGGATGATAAATTCAGCAATCAGTAGGATCTTTATAGCTTTTGGTGATTATTTTCACAGTGATTCACAAAGCCTTTTACCGCAACAATGTGTTTTTACTTACTGTATATGTACCCTGATGTTTTGGTATTTTGTGAAGGATATATAACTTTGACCTTGTACTTTGTTCTATCTTTAATTTTCTTTCTTCCACTAAACAAATACTAAGAACAAAGAAAAATTACCGTCTTCCCATTGGAAGCTGACCCATTAGGGAATCAGTTGGTGGTTCAGTTGCCAAGGCCAATGCTCCAAGAGTATCCATGATAAGATTTACCCAGAGAAGCTG